AGTAAAAAGTTTTGAAAATCTTCGTGATCCTTTTGTATTTTTCTATGTTACATGAGACTTAGGAGTGGTAAATTAGCCACAAACAATAAGGAAATACCTAAAAGAAAGCACGTTAGGAAAATGGAGAATCAAGGCAAGGCAAGTAATGAAAATCCTCCTAACAATGATGAAGTACCACCCTAGTCACTTCGACAGGGGGGAACTATAGTTTTTACACCTTCTTTTGAGGTTATACCGTCATCAACAAGTTCGACACCAACGCAGTTGAATGCTTATACTGGACCCTCTTTTGACTTATATAGGACCACATGGTTCACAAGGGATCCCCCCTCCAAGGGGAAATGCTTTTAATAGGCCTCGGGGGCCACCTGGTTTTTCCATGCCTCAAAATGGTTGTGAGCGGCTATTTACCTCTGGTTTTGGTAAACAACGCTGGTCTCTTAACAGAAAGTTTACTGGCAAGATCGACTAGGGAATCTCAGTACATTGCCTCAGTTCTCGAGTATTTTCATAAAGTGTTTTCAAAAGGGTCTGTTCTACTAAGGCGAAGCGGGCCTAAAAGCAATAACGTAGGAAACCCAAAATAAAACAAAGAGATTTGAACTGTAAATATATATGACATAACATCAAAACAATTAAAAATAGGTTGATTCAAACATACATCACCCATGCTTGACTCATTTCGCTCATTCGCTTGGGTACTCTGAGTGACTAGCATGTAGGAATGTGAAAGTTTGAACCTCTTACACTATGCACTAAGTGCTTTATTTGTAATACATGAAAATAACTACTTTCTTTGCAGGATTCACTTCATTAAAAGCCACGTGTACCTTGTAACTTCCCTTCATGATCCCACGTTCTCCATTCTTGTTGTCGAACCCATGTTCTCTATTGTAACTTCTCTTCATGAACCCACATTCTCCATTCATGCTATTGAACCGATATTCTCTATTCATAAGACTTTTCTTCGCTATTTATTCCCTCTTTTGGGATTTTAACACTTTTAGGCCCAATACATTCCTCATGAGGCTTCTCTTCTGGTCGACCACGTCTACAAGCCTTGATTTCCTTTTTTTGAATCTCCTCCGGTTGACAGCTTCTGCGGTTGACTTCCTATAATTAAAACATCTTCAAAGAACCTTTTTTGCTTTTGGTTGGATTTTGACCCCTTTGTTAAAATCCTAGCCAACAAATTGCCCCCAAAAATATCCTTTTCAACTGAAAGAACAGAAATGGAAATTTTAATCCTTTTCTCTTAGTGTGAAATGTCGTCATCGTAATCATGACCTTTTCCCGCAAACGTTACATCAGCGATCACACAACCACTATCATATTTTCTAGTTTCAACTTCCTAGGATAATCGTGGCCCCTAACTCACCAACTTCTTCAACTCCATTTCCACCTGTTTAACATGTGTCGGTCGTGTATCCACTTTCTCTCCAATGTTTTGTCTCATTAGTGGTATAAATTCCCATTTCATCTCTCTGATTTCCTCTTTACATTTCCTTGCACAATCAAGCTCTTTGTCTTTGTATGCCATAGAACTTTTCATCTTCATTTTATTTCTTTTACCCAGAAAAAACCTTCCATCATCTCCATGGCGGCTTCAAGCCAAATCTTTGAACACATTCAAACTCCTTAGGAAATTGAATTGTCTTCCAACATGAATGAGTTCTTTGTTCATGATCAAAACACTTTTGTCTTAGAACCAACGCCAACATGTAATCTCCAAACATTTCGCTCCCAGCATGTCTTCCCTTCATCTGCAACGACACTGCTCACGCTCTCTTGGGGCCTATTCCTGATGAGGTTAGGGTACCTAAACACTTAGAAGGCTGCTTTACTACTCACAAAACCAGCAAACCCCCTTGCCACCAAATATTGACCCATAGATTTTTCGCACACCTACCGTACGTCTAAAGTCTTTCGTTCCGCCCCCGCTGTCAACCAAGATTATATTGCATGGTTGAATAAAGTAGAAAAAGTGAAGGGTGACATTTGGTAGTCTCAAGGCTTTTTTGACTTGATTCAACTTTCTAGGGTTGGTCCTAGTTATTGAAATTACATGTTGATTTCCACACTCACTTTTGGGAAGGATCTACAAGAACATTCCATTTTACAGTTGGGATGCTCACTCTTACCCTGTTTGACGTTGCGGCCATCACTGGTATCCTCCCTACAGGTGAAGCGTTTCTCCCCACTGAAGCAGAAGAAAACATTATTCCTATTGAAAAGGACATTGCTGGCCTCACCAAATATATGGAGCATTTTCACGCCAAAGGTGTCGACATTGTGTCTGATGAAGAACATATTTCCTCCCTAGCCTTGTGGCTCTCTAAGTATGTTTTATGTATTCAATCTTTGAAGTTATCCAAACGATTCATTGTGTTAGCTCATCACCTCCATTTGGGTCAACACATATGCCTGGGAGAACTTATTTTGGGATAACTCTATGAATCACTCAACGTGGGGGTCAATCATATGACTTGACTTTCATCTACTGCAAGTTATCTTCTTGTTGGGCCTTTCTAGCAACTTCAATTGTGGTTAAATGCCACTTTTGCGAGCCAGATCAAATTGCGCCTCTCTGAAGCACAGGAGACTGAATTCACCAATCGTGCCAACGAAAGCCTTTGTCTTGCTGCAATGATGCCTTCCAACAATGACATGACTCTGGAGGATTCATTTTAGAAATACTTGAAGTTTTTCTTCAAGTTCACTTCTTTTCATCCAAGCATGGCACCCTTTTCCTCTAGACCACATGGTCCTGAGTGGTTTACTCGACCCTTTCCTCCTACCGATCCTGTACCGATCTCTGAATTCAAAGCCATATGGCAAGCTTTTTTAACCCCTAGGATCATAGAATTTACGGTATGAGCTAATGATGGCATGACACTCATGTGTTATCAGCCTAATCTAGTGTCTATACAGTTTGGCTTGTGCCAGCCTTTGCCTCACAGCTTTTATAAGCCATCAGACAAACTGTGTCTTTCATTCACCAGCTACAGTGAGGGAGAATGTGCTTAACATCTTGAACACTTTGCTACTGATGTCCCCAAGTTAACTCTTATCGCTTTCGAGCCCGTCTTCTACACCACTAAGGAGTTCTATGACTGGTGGACTGTGCATTTTGTGCAAAGTAATGGGACTCTCAAGTCCTTCAAAGCTCATTTGAACCATTCTTTTGAATCCATGCAACAACAGTTTAAGAAAGGTATGGCTTACTATTGTAACCGTTAGTCGCCTTCCTGTTTATGTTATGACTTCTAACGCTTCGTATTATGTTATTGCTTTATTCAGCTATCGAGCACAAGAAATGTGCTAGGGAAGTTATCAGTGGTACGACTATTTCTCCCTCATTTGATGAGGCCTTTGGAACTTCTTCTCAGGTAATTTACTACCTTGATAGTTCACTAGATTTTGGCATTCTTTTCTAACCCACTAATTATGTTAACATGTTTTTAGGCTCTTGAAACTAACATCGTCGTCCCTCTTGAGTTGTCCCCAAAGAGATAGAAACTCTCTTCTAACCAAGAGAAACGAGCTAACGGCGCGTCTTCGCCTGCCTTCTCCAAAAAATCCATAAATCCCCAATCGACTCGACTCGAGGTCGCCTCAAAAAAGGCCACTTCCGCCGCTATGCCTGCTCCGGTGGTGGTAAGAGATCAAGTTTTGCAGCTTGTGCCAACTCGACCAGAGAATATTAACTTTAGTCTTGAAGGGACCATTAGGTAATTTCTTCTTCAAAGACTCTTTATATTAGAAATCATTTGTCCTTTTGATGATTTTGTTCTCACTTTCCTTTATTGTTTCAGCGACGAGCAGTTAAAACAAAAAACTCCCCACCAAGATTGTCTTAAAATCTCTTGTTGTACCCCAAAATTCGCCATATCATTTCATTCAAAAATATCCCCTCATACTCCTAGGTTTTTTCAATCGTTTTAAGCTACCCAAGCTTTCTAGGCTTCAGGATATCACATTGATTCTTTGTTTCATCAGAGAATTAGAACTGCAGTACACCTTCGATCATCAACTGAGGTTCATTAGAGATGTTCTTCTATGATCCAAATATTATTTCCACCTTCAAAGATAAGGCATTATTGTTGTGGTGATTGGATGCAAAGCATGACACAAGACATTGAACAGGAGATTCGTTATGATCAAAGCCTGTTTGTTTCTTGAAATACAAGGTTCTAGAAATTTAAGACATCGTTATTCTTTCAAATACTTGTAAGTTGAGTTACTTGTGTTGAGAATGTTTGAAGTTGGGCATTTCATTAAGTCAAAGATGATTTGAAGGTGCATCCAAATAATATCATTAAAGTTCAAATAAGCGAGTATGTAATTTGGAATCCAAGTTTGAGTTCATATGGATTTCATCAATTACAAGTTGCTTGGAACTTAAGGTATAAATGTAATTCATCTCAAGTCTTTTTTCCAAGTTCAAGTGTCCAAAGCATGTATTATATTCAAGTTTGCAAAGCAAGGCATGAATCATTCAAAGTTTTCAAGATCATTTTCAAAAGCCTAGTTTTGTTTAAAGTCTTTCAAATATGGTTCAAGTCCTATTATTCACCATGATAATTCCAATTACAAGCAAAGTTCAATTGTTCAAATATGTAAATAGTTGCAAGCAATAGCCATTCAAATTTCATTCATATTTTCTTCTCAATGATGGAAACCATGATTGACCATTACACTTTGGTGAATTAAAAAACCTACAAGCACATGAATTCCTAAGTTCTAAACCTATGCCTATTGTTCATTCTTCATACTTCCGGTCTTCAAGCTTCATCAAGATATGCCCAATATTATTTATCCATCAATCTTCATATTTCCTCCATGAAATTTCTTCTTTTGACCTCACATCTTCACGAACTTCATGCTTATTCGCCAACATGTTTGGATCAATATCATCATCAAGAGTTCATACTTTATTCCATACATAGCATCCCTGCATCAAAAACAGAACAATACAAGAGCTAAAAATAAAAATAGGGCTAAGACAATCCATAAACCGATGCCAAATTTGTTGCTTCCCGATGTCTAAACAGAAAAAGTGCCCTGTTGTCCAACAATTGCACAAAAACAGCTCTGCCACTCCACTCCAAAACTTGCACAACACAATGACCTTGTAGTCCACACAACCAGTCCAAATGTGCACCATTAAACTTGATGCAATATGAAAAAACAGTCCTTATCCATTGTTGTCCAAACCTGCACCATATCAGTCCAATATTTGCACAAACATAGCAAAACAAAAGACTGCACTAGAAAGCTACAAAGTAGCATACCACATTAGTTCAAATTTCTAAAAATTTCCCCCCAAATCCCATCTTTCTCACCTATAAATGCAGCAGATAAGAAATAGTAAAGGGTGGAGAAATTTTTTTAATACAAACCCAAAAGACGCATCAAAGCGAGAAAAGAGAGAGAGTAGACAAAATTATACACAAAACACTCAATAACATTTACCTCACCATCACAGCATCTGCTTAATCCCTGACAACCTCCCCTGTTGAAAACTCTCCAACTCTCCATTAGCAAAAAAACTCTGTTACAGACAGCAACAAAATACCTTTTGTAAACTAGAGACCTCACAAAACCATGCATAATATCAAACACCAACCAGATACCACCCATCTTCACCGTACATTGGAGAACCTTCCATCGGCCTTCACTCAGAGAGAAGAAAGAAAGAGAGCGTTAACACAGAGGAGTGAAAAGAAAATTTGAAATAAAAAAAAAGCGTAAAGAAACAGAAGAAGTTCAGAAGCAAAACGAAGGAGCGGCTTAACCAGATTCAGGTTGTTGTCATATAACTCTTTAATTTTTCTGTTTCAAATTCGTTAGGGATTGGTTTGATTTGGGGTTTAGGTTTATGATTTTTGTTGTTGTTTTATTCATAATAAAAAAAAGAAAGAGAAGAGAATCCGTGAGAAGCATCGAGCTTGAGAAGAAAATTGGATTATGAGAACGTTGATTTTGACAGAGTAAGATAGGAATTATGTTTGGGATTAGAGAAGAGGAGTTGCCTCTATTTTTGATTTAGGGTTTGAAAAACCTATTTTCCCTCTTAGCAGAACTGTGTTTGGGCCTAACTTATGGTCCAACCCTTTTCATAAGATTGATTTTTTTCTTTAATTAAAACTGTAAAAATAAACGAATGAAGAGCATGGTTTAATGGTTGAAACGTTAGTCTGGAAGCGCGAGGTCCTGGGTTCGAGCCTCCGTGGGACCCTTTTACCATTATTTTGTTTTTTTATCATTTTCTCAACCCAGCGAATTCCCCAAGCCCATCCGAAAATCCACATTCCTTGCTTGTTTATTTTTAATTTCAGCAAAAATACAATAAGGTTGTTGGTCCTGCTTGCCAATATCTCTCATCCCAATAATGGTTTACTTAGCTCACACTCCTATTTTCTGTTTACACCCTTTTCTTTAAGTTTTAGTGATTTTCTTAATTCTTTTTTTTATTCTAATTTAATTAGTAATCTTTAGAATTAAGTTTAGTTTAGATTTAATTTAGGAATTTTAGGAATTTTAACCTCTTTTTGATAAACATAGAATTTTTAGTTTAGGTTTTAAATTCAAGTTTTTCTTAACTAAATGATTGCTTATTCTTAGTTTTAAAAATTTGTTTAAAGAAGTTTGTGAATAAATCAATTTTGTAAGTTAACATTTTATTCTATTTTTAATATTTGTTTAGTTGATTTCTTCTAGTTGTTTTATTCTCTTCATGACAAACAAAAATTCCAAAAAAAATAATAGAATAGGTTTTTATTCGCTTTTCAAATTTTCTCACAAACAAAAAAATACCAAAAATTTTATTTAGAATTCTTGAATTTCCGTTCACAACTTTTAGTTGATTTAATTTCCTTATTTGATAAAATCACAAAACAATTTTCTTTCTCTTTTCATTTGCTCGTAGTTTATTATTTTTCTCATTCTTTCAGTTATTGTAATTGCTTAAGGTTTGTAATGGTTTAATCGATCTTTTACTCCATCCACATTCATAAATTTGTACCCCTATTCCAAAAATGTTGTAATAACGTATGTTGGATTAAAATATCCAGCGTCAACCTTATGGATTTGAAGGGCTTAACATCCCACCCATTGGCGCTTAGTAAATTAGGTGCAGCCCCTGAAAATGCTCGTACTATATGGAAATAAAGTTGCACCTTGGCTACAAGAAATTGCTTTTAGCTCAGTGGTAAGCTCTTGATTCTTCAATTGGTATCAGAGCACCTGGATATGGGTGCAAACACTTAACCATGTCAGATAAAGATCCAAGGGGGAAAAACACTATGAGGGGAACAAGTCAGAACATCAACAGCAGCCCTCCAATATTTAACGGTGAAAATTTTGACTACTGGAAAGATATTATCAGAAGTTTCTTCCTAGCCTATGACGCTGACCTCTGGGATATGGTAACTGGTGGATACATACATCCTGTTGATGAAATCGTTCATAAGATTGACAAAAAAAGGATGATAGATCATCAAAAGCAAGACTTCAGAAATCATCACAAGGCCAGAACAATTCTCTTAAGTGCCATCTCATATTCAGAGTATGAGAAGATCGCAAACAGAGAGACAACTAAAAACATATTTGATTCTCTAAGAATGATGCATGAAGGAAACGTGCAAGTAAAAGAAACCAAAGCCCTTGTGCTCATTCAGAAGTATGAAGCCTTCAAAATGGAAGAAGATGAAACCATTGAAACTATGTTCTCTAGATTTCAAATTCTGGTGGTTGGGCTAAAGGTGTTGGACAAAGGGTACTCAACTGCTGATCATGTAAAGAAGATCATCTGAAGTTTACCAAATCAATGGAGACCAATTGTCATGGCTCTCAAACTGGCAAATGATCTGAACATAATATCTCTAGAAAAACTTGTTAGCTCTCTCAGAAGCCATGAGATAGAGTTTGAAGATGATGAGCCTCAGAAGCAAGGTAAGTCTCTCCCTCTGAAATCTAACAAATATGAAACCAAAATTTTGCAGGCAAAAGCAGAAACAGAAAAATCTGGAGAATCCTCGTCATAAGAAGACGAACTGTTCTTTCTATCCAGAAAATCCAGTAACATAATCATTACCTGCTATGAATGCAATAAACAAGGTCACTAAAAAAGTGATTGTCCAAGGCTTCAGAAGGAGAAACATAAAAAGAATTTTGTTAAGGAGAAAAAGAAAAGTCTTATGGCAACATGGGATGACTCTGAATCTTCTGAAGACGGAACAAAATCAGAAGATGAACAAGCCAATATAGATCAAATGGAAAACTTATCAGACGTCTCTGAATCCTCAGAATCAGAATCAGAATCAGACTCAGAGTCAGAAGAGGTATTTTCTAACTTTTCTAGATCCCAATTAGAGGAGAGTCTGTCAAAAATTCTAGAAAGGTATCAGAAGCTTCGAGTCATAGACAAGAACCTGAAAAAGGATCTAGTTTCTGACTCTGAAGAAACTAAGAATATGAGACTAGAAAACTCTGATTTGGAAGAAAAGGTTTTTAAACTTGAAAATTATTTACAAAATACTCAGAAGGTAATTGTCTCAGAAGTTCCTAGTAATCCTGATACAATCATAAAGGAATATGATCACAACTTTCAAAAATTTCTCGCTAAAAACATAGATAGAAGCAAGATGGCTTCAATGATCTATGGAGTTATCAGAAATGGCAGAATAGGTATAAGATACGAAGGTAAAGTATCCCAACCTAAGAAAGTTAAGGATTTGGCTATCAAACACACTCCTCTTTATTCTCACTTCACTACTGGGAAAACACATGATATAAAACATACTGGTAAGGCATTTTATACTAAACCGAAATTCAAACAGAATTTTGGAAACTCTAATAGTCATGGACAAGGAAAGATATGGGTACCAAAAGACAAAATCATCTATGTAATTTAAAAGATTCGCAGGTTTCAAAGGCAATCAGAAACAGAATATTAATGGATCTGAATCTATTGGAAACAGGAATGGAAATACAACATCAGAAGCTCTCTAACGAATCTCAGATGTATCCAGAAGCGGATGTCACACCTTTTCAAGCAACTTCTGTCAGAGTAAACCAAATAGATTCTTTACCACTTTTTTATTCTTGATAAAAAGGGGGAGAATGAAGAATATTTTAACTCATAATCAGAAGATCTTCAGGGAAGTATTTTATTTTCTCGATAGCCTTGTATTCTACTCAGGGGGAGCCTTTTAATTTTTGTTCTTTATATTCCATCAAAATATACTAGTTTTTGTCATCAGTAAAAAGGGGGAGATTGTTAGAAAATAATTTGGTTCTACATCCCAGTAAGAGTTTTGATGATAACAAACACATGATATAAAGAACAATTATTCTCACTAATAAAAGCATCTTTACATGCAGGATGTTCTGATGTGAAAAGTATGTTTTGATGCAATTGGAAGTTCTTCCAGAACATCACCAGAAGTTCTGATTATGCGAGCAAATAAGTTGAGAGTACCATGAAATATTCATACGCATCAAATTTGTGTGACACGCTTATATAAAGAAGTTCTGTTACAACTTATGAATGCACCAGCGCTGTGAAAAAGGATCTCTGATACTCTAATTTGCAAAGTTCTGATGCAAGCTGTGATACGGTGGCAGAACCGACTGTTAATATTGGTTTTAGTTTTTTGTTCGCAAATGTCGTAGTAAGAAAGAGTCGCCACCGACTTTTATTTCATCCAACAAAGGAAAAGTAAAAAGAACAGAAAAAACCTTTTTCGAGATGTATCTGAGCACCGGGGGTAGATTATAGAAACGAAAGGTGTTAGCACCCTTTCTATCCATGGTTTTCCATGGGCTCTTAGGTACTTGCTCATTTTGAAATTGCTTGTGTGTGTTTTGAAAAGATTTTTTTTAACTTCGTGATAACCCTTGTATCTGTCCTCAAGAGTGTGACGAAGATGTTTTTGAAAACTATTTTGAAAGTGTTTGTGAAATTTTTTTTGTTGTTTTGAGCAAGTACATAGGATTTTCTACCTACTCGAAAAAGACTATCCGTTCTCGTTTCCTTTAGATAGCACTATCCTACTATTAAGGAGTAGGTAGCCCCATCGGTAGAGATTTAAGGGACATTCAAAGGGACAGGTACAGTCACAAAAGCAATGGTTAGGAAACCTTAGTAGTTACCCTAAAGTCCTAAAGATCTTTATGAGGCAACATTCAAATGGGTCATTTTGATCATTCGGGACTGGAGGACGACCACTAAAATTCCTTATGCTTCATAATTGTTTACCGAAGGCAACCGGAGTGGGATAAACCCTAAGAGTGAACATGTGCATTTGTTATTTTTCAGTTTATTTATCTTTGCACAATTAGGGTTATCTACCATTTTAATTGTTATTCTTTCCATACAAGCTTATTATCCATACATCTAGCAGTTGATAATAGTAGAAAGTAAAAGTGCGAGAAATTAAAGTCCTAACTATTACAAGGCCTCAGGGAGGGGGTTACATAACCAAAACTTGGGGATGAACAATAAATAAAAAGTAGTAAAATAAACCCTAATTAAAAAACTATTACAAACCTCGAAACAGTTACAATAATTGGAATTATAAATAAGTAAATGCGCGTGAGACAAATTAAATACGAGAATAAATTAGAAGCCTAAAAAATCTAGTTAATAAAAAAAAAATTTTATTG